ATGGACCAGGTGGACCACTGGGTCGTGAGCGTCCCTCTGGTGGACGAGCCTGAGGCGGACGTGTACAGCGAGTACAACGCGGCTTACGACCCGGACGACCCGTGGGCGGCGCGGAGGGCCGGACTCGCTGACCACTGGAACGGCATGCCGAGCCCGAACCTCACCGACTTCGTGAGTAGTTTCCCATCCATGCCCTTACTTGGTGATGTTGTTTTGATTTACTTGCGTGGATAGATGCTTCAGAACATTTAACAAATATGTGATACGAAATTCCACTCCTTCGTGGTGCCTTCGAGTTACTTAGCCAGAACATAGCGAGACTATAGTGACTTTTTTCTTTTCAGGAGGTACTAGAAGAGGCGAGTTCTCGACAGGTCACCATGACTGCTGCCGTGTTCAAGAAGAAGGCCCCCGCGGCCGTCGCGGGATTTCGCTTCCCGCAAGGGACGCTCCAGTTTTTCTTTGAAAGGATCGTCGGAACTCTTGACGTAAGTGGTAATACGGGGTGTTCCGGGTGTTCCATAGGCCCCGTCCTTTTAATTTGGTTACTGTACCGCATTCAGATGAGTAGGCGCGGGTTGCCTGCTTGCGGTACAAGTACAACTCCCCCCGAAACAGTATGTGGCCGCAGAAAATAGAAAGATAAATATGCAAAGTTATCGGAATTGCGGCATGGAGACTTTGCGTATAAAAAATGGAACTGTACGATATCCCCCATCTGACGCTGACAGTGTCCCGGAACCACGGAGCGTTGCGGCGACACGTGCGCCTCCGAGGAGCTGGACTGCTTCCTGGTCGACGAGCACGGCGTCGTGGTCGCGGACGAGACGGGCCTTCAGGCCGGACGCCGGCTGTCCGTCGTCAACGAGGACCTCATGGTGCGCCTCGAGGCGGCCAAAGTGTTCCAGCGCGTCACCGTGTCCGACTACCAGGGCGTGTGTCGCCGCGCAGCCAAGTCGGCCGCCAGGTCAACCTCAGCTGTAAGTAGTACACAGTTGTTCGTCTTTCAACAGGCCCAGTTCAGCGTGACCACGTAGTGGCCACAAATATATTACTCCCACACCGAACGTGTCAAGGTGTCCTACACCCACACTGAACGTTGTCTGAGTTGGCGGCTTTACTAGCGCCTGCGACGCGCTGGGTAGGCCAACCCGCCAAGCAGCTGTGTTGGGCTGGCGGCCCGCTCTGAGTGCCCACAGGGGTTCTGGCTCGGGCAAGCAGGGAAGGGACTGCTTTGCGTAACCTCTGTAAACGCACGCCGCTGTGTCGCCAGGCCCGGGCTCTGCTGCCGCCCGCGAGACCCCACTGGTTGGGGGCGGGGGCCGTCCTGGCCGCCCTCTGGTGGCGACAGCAGCAGCTGCAGCAGCATGCCCTGGGCTTCAGCCTCGCTCCGGCCGCCGCCTGGCTCCTCGGCGCGCAGGGGGTCGCGGGCATCAAGCTCAACGGTGCGTTCCACGAGCCACTACAGGTGCAGCTACTCGCGTACTCGTACTGTGCGCGGACCTATTATCCGTCGTTGTGTGTGCAGACGCAACCACCACTCCGGACCTCCTGGAAGCCCTGAAGCCTCTGCGGGTCAACAAGACCACCCTCCAGCTGTGTAGCGTGAAGGTGGACCTGCACCGCCTCGGCCCCGGCCTGCGCCACCGTCAGTCGTCGCCCCTCAGCTGCGAGAAGAGGTGATGCGCTGTTGATGGTTCACTTTTTTCGGAGGGGGGGGGGGTGAAACGATTTCTAATCTGCTGTGGCATCTTCCACGACGCAGGTCGTTCGCCGCGGCCGCCGTCCCCGGCACCAACTTGGTGCTGTTGACGGCGCTCAACAACTGCCCCCAGCTGGAACAACTCGAGCCGTTCGCGACAGAGCCCTGGGAGGCCACGTCGCGCAAGGGAGAGCCCGTGTTCAGGAAGCAGGGTTTGCTGTGGCCCCGCCGCCGGCCCCCCACGGCCTGCTACCGCGAGCACGTCGGCGAGCGCAACATCACCCAGTGCGGAGGCGCGCACCGGGACCGCGCGCTGCACCTCGCCGTCCTGGCAGCCCTGGCCGCGCTCCCGCTGCTCGCGGCGTCGGCCTGAGCGCGCGACCCGTTGCCTTTAAGACTGATGGAAAGGTCACAACGGTTTAGTTGGAAGGCCCCCTAACTAGATCTCGTGCTGAGCACAATTCCGAGCACGTTGTGATCACAACAACTGGCGTTATTGGGTAGGCATGGGTGGACTCAATGGTAGACTAGACAGTTGAGTGTTGGCAGTGCATATACTATAGCCAACTATAAGACATCAACTACCCCCACTCTACCAATGAGGATGTCTGACGTTGTCGCCTCGGGCTACAGACCACTCATAGCGCTTGCAACGCGTGGGGTAGGCCATCCCGCCAAACATCTGTGTAGAGCCAGTGGCCCGCTCTGTGAGCGTCTCGGGCTACACACTTACACTTACATCTCAATTAAAACTAGCGTTCTAAAACTAGTCAATTTCAACATTTCTTCACTTTGATTTCTTTCTTTCTTTATTTATTTATTCATTTGTTGTTGTAATTTAATGATTGAAGTATGTTTTCTCTTTGTAAGTACCTATAATGTAAATAAATTTGAAGGGTTTTAAAGGCAGTGCTTATTTTCACGAACGACATTCCAATGAGCAGAGCTATGAATGCTCACTCTGAGGAAAAATAACAACGCCAGTGAGCTGTCACGCGGGAGAAGGAGTGTTACTGTTGTCGCGGGTACACTGTAATTCGGGGTGTCTCAAATGTATACGCCAAAAGGCGTTTGCTACAGGATCCCGAGCGACATTTGGCGTATACTTTTGAGACGCCTTTTGGCGTATAGATTCTAGACACCTTTGCCCATACCATTCCCACAGCACAGCAGAGGCCCTTTGATACATACACCCTGAAAGGCGCTCACATCCTGTACACCCTTGCATCTGCATGCACGGGCAGCCTGGGCTGTGCTGTGGGAATGGTATGGGAAAAGATGTCTAGAATCTATACGCCAAAAGGCGTCTCAAAAGTATACGCCAAATGTCGCTCGGGATCCTGTAGCAAACGCCTTTTGGCGTATACATTTGAGACACCCCAAAATTACAGTGTAGGGGGTAGATCGGCTCGGTCTGGTCGGTCTGGTCGCGGAAGCGCGGGGCCCGAGGGGCGCCAGCGTGGCGGCGCGGCGGTCCAGTTGGCGCCGGGGTGGCGCCGGAGGCAGGGTCGATAGGGCTGCGCCGGTCCCAGCGGGTGGGGACCACGATCGCCCCGAGGCCCCCGCCTCTTGCCGCACCGATCCTCGCGTCACTCGCCGACTCATCGCGACGCATCGCGGACCAGGACGGGGATGCTGCAATGGCGCGCGCCGTTGGCGTGGCTGTCTGCAACGTCGTCGTCCTCACCCTCGCCGTGGCCCTGGCTGCCAAGCAGCCCAAGCACCCGGCACACGCGGACCAGCACGCTGTGTAAGTGTGGGCTTGAGGGGGGCAAAATGGCTGAACATGTATACTTCTATAACCGTGTTTTACATTTTTTTCGGGCAGCGTGCAGGCCTGGGCGGAGAAGTTGGGGAAGGAGCTGGGGGAGTTCGCAAGCTCGGTGACGCGGATCAGGCACCTTCATGACGTAAGTAATAGGCCTCAGATTCTATTAAACAACATACCTTCCAACGCTAACCTTTCACCTCTGTGACCATCAGACTTTCAAGAAGGCGACGGTTTCGGTGCGCAACGCGACGGCGCTGCTCGACGGGGTCGTCAGGAACGTGCAGGACCTGATGCAGATCCGGGTGGAGCAGGTGCACGACATTCGCAGAGCTGCCGAGGAAATAGGGCGTATCCCACCCCGCGAAATGCCCATCGAAGTGCGCGATCGAAGGTTCCGGACGTACCTGGGCGTCAAGGATTACGAGACCACACAGGCTCCTCCGCCGCCGGCACCGCCAAAGGAGACCAAGAAGAGCATCGTTCAGCGCTATAACGAATGGCGCTCGGGGACCACCATGCAGCCCCCCACTACTACCGCAGTGCCCACCCTACCACCCACCACCCTCAAGCCCTGGCTCGTGCACGACGAATATTTCCCCGGAGGTAGTCTCGTCAACGAATCGCTTAGCGCAGTTCACGTCCCTGTCGACGTCAACGATGGCAGTAAGTCAACCGCTTTCTTCTATGGTGGTTCAGAGACGAGTCATTGCTGAGTTACGTGATTTTCATTTTCAGCCTTACCGATGGAAAAGGACGAACCCGAGGAGGACCTCGACCAGTACACGAACTCGACTGGCGCCGACGTGCTGCGGGTCATCAAGATTACTAGGAGGCTGGATGACGTCTTCGTCAGCAACAAGGAGAGAGACAGGACCACCTCCTGGCAGTTCTTCGCCCACTACTCCGGCGTCATGCGCCAATACCCAGGTCCGTTCACACCCGTACCCATTCAGTTTCTAGTGGTAGGACTGGCCCGGACTGTATTGCTTTCGCTACCACAGCCTCCAAGTGGGACACGCTTTACCAGAACGACTACTTCGACGCGCGGCTCCGGCCGTGGTACATGGGCGCGGCCCGGAGCCCCAAGGACGTCATCATCCTCATGGACAACTCGGCCTCCATCAGCATGACCGAGCCGTCGCTGCTCACCAACCTGATAGCACACATGATCTTGGACACGCTCGGCCCAGACGACTTCGTGAGCGTGCTGCTGTTCAACCAGACGGTGTACCCACTCGTGCCCGGCCTCGACCACTCGCTCATCCCGGTGAGTATGATTCTCGAACTTTGTAACAGGTGAACATGTGACACAAATTTATTAATCATCAATCCTCCTCCAGGCAACCTCGGCGTACGTGCGTGAACTTCAGTTTGCATTGGAAGCCTCCAAACTGCCTGGCTCCAAACTACCCCCAAAGGGAAACGTCTGCCTGCCCAAGGCTCTGAATACATCATTTCAACTCTTGGAAAAGGTGCGTTGCAGACCGTGGACAGGCTAAAAGCACTACCCATCTTCACCTTTCAACAACTACTATCTGTTGTTTCCAGTACCGGCGCCAGTCATTGGGTGCGGCGTGCAACCAGGCGATCATGCTGGTGACGGACATCGTGCCGGACTTTGATGATGCATGGGAGGCAAGTTAATCTGCTTAATAGTGCATTGCTCTTCGAGGAGCAATTTTTTTGTGGAATGCTATTATCAAGGTTGCAACCTGAATTTCCAATTCAGCTCTAATAGAACTCAAGGGCAAAGATAGCGCATTTGCGAGGAAAATTAAAAACAAAACAACTTTGCTTAAATAAATTCTCCTAATTTGCGCTTAAAAATGAAGAAATTGTAGGAAGAATACACTGACTGAATTGAACTTGCCAGGGCTGCAACAAGGAGGACCGACCCAAGGTGTACAAGCGATTCGAGATCGACAACTCGGGGCGCGCCCGCGTCTTCACCTTCGTTATCAAGGAGCCGGTACAAGGAGAGGAGTGGGAGGCGCAGAAGCTGGCGTGCGCTAACATGGGTGAGTCGGCGAGGGGGTCAACGGCTGCACGAGGCTCTGCCGCACTTGCACCGGGCTCTGATCAGGAACCACTCCAATGACAGGGTGGCACACGATGATCTGGAAGTCGGGCGCGCGCGCCACGCTGCAGTACCTGCCCGTCATGTCGCGGCCGCTGGTGCTGGCGGGCATGCACCCGGTGCACTGGACGCACATGTACGCCGACGTGACAGTGCCGGGCATCTCGGACCAGCTCTGGATCGAACTGCAGCACGACGAGCAGGTGCGCAGGCTGCAGCCCTTCTGCATCTACCACTACGCGCTGCACCCGCACAAGAAGTCTCACTACGCCCACAAACCACCGGTGAGTAGCGCAGCGTCCAGCACGAATTATCACCGCCCGGTTGTACTTCACTGATTTTATTCTACACCTTTTGTGAACTGAACTAACTGCAGTGTCCTTCTGCTTTTCCGCTTCGTATAGATCGTCGACAAGGAGCTCGGCAAGCAGGAGGAGTTCGTCATAACCGTGTCCGTGCCGGTCCGGAACCTCAGCAGGGAAGGGGTGAGTGGCAACCATGCTCCCCCGTGGTCCAATACAATTAGAGATCATCAAAAAAGTACGTTCTTCATTCGACGTTACAAAACTGCCAAGTTTCGCCTATGCAAGCTCGCATAGCGCCTGGTAGGTATGCAGCATCTTGCCAGCAGTGCATGTGTGTATTGCGGGATGGCCTACCCTGAGTCTCGCAGGCGCCGAGCTTCTGTGATTTGCCATTAATGAATCTGAGGAAAACGGACGTACTTTCTGGACGAACCCTGAGTTAAATTGTCCTAGCTCTGTACAGCGAAACGACGCCGTTCTTTTCGGCTACACGATGCAGACAACTTTTAAGGCTAAACCAGCAAAACTTTTCCTTGTGCAGCACTGTTATAAATAGTATGGAATCAAATGAGTCAACATTTCTGGCGACACTTTTGAAGGCGACTTCTCTTAATTGTCGCTTTCAGTAAGGCGAGAACTGAGATGTTGTCTGAAACAAGGAATCACATATGCCGCCAACTAAATCTACAAAATTTATATTTAAATAAGTAATATAAACTCCTTGCAATCATTTATGTTTTCTATTAATAAAAACCTATTTTTTTTCTTATTGTTAAATACAAGAGTAATCCATTTGTATTTATACCAAATTTATCCGTTGAGTTTAGTTGAGTTGCAGCCACTTAATTAATTGGTTCGAAATGTGTAACCTTCTTTGGTGACAAGTTCGATAGTTGCCCTGAAAGCTCACATGTATTTTTTTGATTGGTAAGATATAAACTTGTCCCAACATGTGTCACCTTTCAATTTACAAAAAATTCCACTGTGGCCATCCAAACTATTTTCTGTTTAATATTTTGAAACTGTTTTACAAAGAGACACTAAACATGCAGACGCAAAACGGCGACATCCTCGGCGTGGCCGGCATAGACGTCCCAATCTCCCAGATCAAACGGCTGATCCCGCAGCACAAGGTGGGCGTCAACGGGTACATCTTCATGGTCACCAACAACGGACTGGTGGTGTTCCACCCGGGGATGCGCCCGATGGTTCGTAGCAAAAATTACTTCAACTGAACTTATTAAAGAGCTTTGCTTTCTTTCTATTCATTTGCCTGGTTTCTTTCCACCGCCATTAGTTCAACGGCATCCTTAAACCTGGCTACAACAGTGTCGACATGACCGAGCTGGAACAGGAGGACGTGCCCTTTCTCAGAAACATGAGCAAGTCCATGAAAGAGGTCGGCACCGGACGCAGGACATTTGTTTAAATTTGAAATATTAAAAATTGCAGGCAACTGTTTCTATGATAAACTGATGCCCACTTATCCTTTACAGTTGCGCGAACTTATCGTGAACCAAACAACGGGGTCGGTAGTCCTGTCTATCAGGCAGGTCTATGACAACTGGGTAAGGCTTGAGGACGCCAACTTGCTCGCCGGCATGCCAAAGTTGTACATGATGGTGATGTTGTCCGCAGCACCGAGTGTCCCGGTGGAACCGCCGCTACCACTTCCAGGGCGTGCCGGACACGCCGTACAGCATGGTGATGGCCGTCCCGGAGGACTACGGCGCATTCCGCGTCGAATCGGGCGGCACAGCAGGTAGGTGCGAGGGAGGGTGCCGGTGCCGGGGTGCTCGGCGGCGTGCTCAAGTGACTGTCTCTGCTCGCAGACAAGCTGCCGGGCATGCTGGCGGCGGAGCGCAACTGGGCGGTGCACCCCGACTGGTCGTACTGCGCGTGCTGCGGGGTGCCGGGGCGCCAGGGGCTACACAACCGCACCGTGTTCGCGCGCGGCCTGCAGCAGGGCCGAGGCAGGTGCGCGCGCTGCGAGGGCGCGGTGGGTGGCGCCTGTGCCGACTCCAGTCTGGGCGCCGCGCTGGCGCAGGACGTGGAGTGGACCAAGCCGTGGTTCGCACAGGTCAGCAGGGACGCTACCGTCGACAAGAGGTAGGAAACCAAGAGTGCGTGGTTTGATATCTCGCCGCACATCTCGACTTTACACAACTTGCCTTACAGGTGGCAACTAGGCAACGTCTCCATCGCCTTCATGGCGACGCACAGCGGGCTGACGCGCTGGGTCACCATGTCCAAGAACACCGTGGTGCGCGACGACATGTGAGTCCGCGATGCGAGTCGCTGGCTGACATGGCTGACACTACTACTAGTGCTCCTCTCACGACGCACGATGGCTCTCTGTTTGCAGCGACCAGCATGTGCGCCGAATGGAAGCGTCGCGCGGCCCGGACGAGGTCTGGTACCGGCGGGCCGTCGAGTCCGCCGCGGCAGCTGCCTCCGTGCACCAGCCAGCGTACCAGATGGACCAGGTGGACCACTGGGTCGTGAGCGTCCCTCTGGTGGACGAGCCTGAGGCGGACGTGTACAGCGAGTACAACGCGGCTTACGACCCGGA